ACTGGATCACGATTTTTAGTCAGGAGATGCATTGGATTGTTATTGATGTGCGAATATTGTGTATCATGCTTTTATGGTTTTAAATTGTATACTGTTGATTGTTGTATTTTGTTGTAAACCGCGTTGAGTCGCTGGCTAGGCTGAGAAACAGCGGTATACAAGTATAGCAAATAAATAAATAAATATATTTATATTCCTACAAAGCCCTAAATGGTTTGGGACTTATCTACCTGCGTGACCACATTTCCGTATACGAACCCACACAATCTCTTTATTCATCTGGAGAGTCCCTGCTCACGATCCCACCTGCATCGCCAGCGCGATTGGTGGGAACGAGGGACAGGGCCTTCTCGGTGGTGGCCCCCCGACTCTGGAACTCCCTCCCCAAGGACATCAGGCGCCCCAACGTTGGCAGTCTTTAGAAGGAGCTTGAAAACATGGATGTTCCAGTGTGCCTTCTCAGAATGACGATTCCCAAGCAGTATGTCCCAAATGCACTTTACGAGAGATTTAGGATTGTCTGCACGCCCACCTATCCCTAAAATATCCATCCTATTTCACTTGGACATGCCCAGCATTTTTAAAATTTTAATCATTACATTTAGCCCTACCACAGGTTTTTAAATGTGTCGTGATATTATTGTTATTGTTTTGCTTTGTTTATGAGTTATGTATTGTTGTCGTGTTTTATTGATGTACTGTCCTAGGGACCCGGCGCTGCCCAGGGTTTTTGAAAAAGGCATTGTTTGTTTTGGGGTGTTAGGTAATATCATTTAGTTAATTAGTAACACTATTTATTAGGGAAAGGCCAGTCTTTGATTTCGTTTTTTATTAATGCTTCCATTAGAAAATACCTAACAATGTGGGTGAACTACAGTTCCCAGAATCGTGGGTCAATCCTCCCCAAACCATGCCTGTATGCACAGTTAGCTATGTTGGGTGTGTGTGCCAAGCTTGGTCCAGATCTGTCGTTGGCTGGGTGGAGTGCTCCCTGGGGGAGTCACAGTGATCTGCCTCGATGCAGGGTGAACTACAACTTCCATCCTGTTGAGTCAGTCCCCCAAACCCCTCCAGACTGTTCAGCTGCTGATCAATTCCTCTGTGTTTACTGTGTGTCATAGGAAAGGGTTAAGGGAAATGCAGTGGGCGGGGTCATGCAAATTCGACACAAGGAACCCTTGGATGCCTGTCTGTGGTGGAGGAAACATATCAAATCTGGGATTAAATTCTCCCCAAATGAAATCATTCCTTGAATGGTTGGCTGTAGTGTTTGGGTGGACATTGGCAGCGTTTGGGCTACATGTTCATGGTGCTCGCCATAACCTGCAAAGTCAGTGGAGGGAGTGCCTTTGGAGGCTTCTCAGCACTTGGAACTATAGCCTGTTTGTGGAGGCCGGAGGCTGTCTATATAAGCGGACACCGCATACACATATTTTCACTTTTATTATGTGTATAGATTTGGGCTCGGCCTCTTGTAAGCCGCACCAAGTCCTGCAAGAGATGGTAGCGGGGTATAAATAAAGGATTATTATTATTATTATTATGGAGGAGGAGGTGAATTAAACTGCAAAGTCCAAATCACCCCGAGGGCCGAAGTTGGCCCATGCATGGTCTAAAATAGACTCATTTCTCTTTTCCTGTCTTTCCTTCCCACTTCTTTCTTTCTTAAAATAGAAAATTCCCAGAGTTGTTCACTTGGTTTAAGAATTTCCTGGGCTACAAAGAGTCTTCCCACTTGGAGTCGTTTCCAAAGGAGCGAGCCACGGAAGGGATCGCAATGGAGATCGACTACGCTTCCTGCAAGAGGCTGGGCTCCAGCTACCGGGCCTTGCCCAAGAGTTACCAGCAGCCCAAATGCACGGGACGGACTCCGCTGTGTAAGGAGGTACGAGAGCTGATCGGAAACTGCCTTGTGTTACTTGTCGACCTCCCAGGCTTTTTGTTTAGATGCGGCTCCGCTATAAGGACTTTTTGCCCATCACAGTCTGGTTTCAGACCTGGTCATAGCATCGAGACGGCTTTGGTCGCCTTGGTGGATGATCTCCGTAGGGAGCTGGACAGGGGGAGTGTGACCCTGTTAGTTCTCTTGGACATCTCAGCGGCTTTCGATACCATCGATCATGGTATCCTTCTGGGACGCCTCTCCGGGATGGGCCTTGGAGGTACGGCTCTGTCGTGGCTCCGGTTCTTCCTGGAGGGTCGATTCCAGATGGTGAAGCTGGGAGACGCCTGCTCGGACCCCTGGCCTTTGACCTGTGGGGTCCCGCAAGGCTCTATTCTGTCTCCCATACTTTTTAACATCTACATGAAACCGCTGGGAGAGGTCATCCGGAGTTTTGGAGTTGGGTGCCATCTCTACACAGATGACACACAACTCTACTACTCTTTTCCACTGAATTCCAAGGAAGCCCCTCTGGTGCTGGACGAGTGCCTGGCCGCTGTGGCTGTCTGGATGAGTATGAACAAGCTGAAGATTAATTTATTTATTATTTTTATTATTTACTGCATTTGTTGACCGCCGTTCTCAGCCCTAGGGCGACTCACGGCGGTGTACAACATATAAAAACAGTTTACAATAAGGCAATAACACAACAAATATCAACAACAACAATAATACAAATTACACTAAATCATCCGCGCCGTCTCATCTTAGAATCATAAACCAATCTCGTAATCCATATTCCGTTCCAGTCGTCATTGCCAATTGTTGTAGCACTTAGTCAAACGCCTTCTCAAATAACCATGTCTTTAGGCTCTTGCGGAATGACATAAGGGAGGGCGCCTGTCTGATGTCTACAGGGAGAGTGTTCCACAGGGTAAATACGTAAGTTTGGTGGGTTTGTGTGGGAGTATTAGTGTAGTTATTGTTATGTAAGGGTGTGGAGGGGAGTGGGGTGTCGGTTTAGTTAGTGTTGTTAAGGGGTAAATTATATAATAGTATAGAGTGTAGAGAGTAGTGTGTTGGGTGGTGAAGAGGACGTCTGCAGGGAGGGTTCCACAGCCGGGGGGCCACCACCGAGAAGGCCCTATCTCTCGTCCCCGCCAGCGTGCCTGTGAGGCAGGCGGGATCGAGAGAAAGGCCTCCCCGTCGTGGGCTCATAGGCCGAGATGCGGTCAGAAAGGTATTTTGGGCCGGAACCGTTTAGGGCTTTGTAGGCCAACACCAGCACCTTAAATTGGGCCCGGTAGCAGATCGGCAGCCAGTGGAGCTGGAACAACAAGGGCGTTGTGTGCTTCCCTGCGTCCCGCTCCTGTTAGTAACATGGCTGCCGCGCGCTGGACTAGCTGAAGCTTCCGGGCCGTCTTCAAGGGCAGCCCCACGTAGAGAGCGTTGCAGTAGTCAAGGCGGGATGTGACCAGAGCGTGTACTACCGTGGCCAAGTCAGACTTCCCAAGGTACGGGCGCAGCTGGCGCACGAGCCTGAGCTGTGCAAATGCTCCCCTGGTCACCGCTGAGACCTGGGGATCCAGGCTCAACGATGAATCCAGGATCACACCCAAGCTGCGAACCTGCGCCTTCAAGGGGAGTGCGACCCCATCCAGCACAGGCTGTAACCCTATACCCTGTTGCGGCCTTGCGACTGACCAGGAGTACCTCTGTCTTGTCTGGATTTAATTTCAGTTTGTTCGCCCTCATCCAGACCGTCACAGCGGCCAGGCACCGGTTCAGGACCTCGACAGCCTCCTTAGTAGCAGGTGGAAAGGAGTGACAGAGTTGGACATCATCTGCGTACAGATGACACCGCACCCCGAAACTCCGGATGATCTCACCCAGCGGCTTCATGTAGATATTAAACAGCACCGACAAGACAGAGATCCTCCTGGTCGATCATAAACTAGACTGGGGTATAGGGTGGCAACCTGTGCTGGACGGGGTTGCACTCCCCCTGAAGTCACAGGTACGCAGTTTGGGGGTCCTCCTGGACTCATCACTTACGCTTGAGGCATTGGCGGTGGCCAGGAGGGCCTTTGCACAATTAAAACCTGTGCGCCAACTGCGACCGTACCTCGGGAAGGCGGATCTGGCCAAGGTGGTCCTCGCCTTAGTCACCTCTAGACTGGATTACTGCAATGCACTCTACGTGGGGCTGCCCTTGAAAACGGCCCGGAAATTTCAGATGATCCAACGGGCGGCAGCCAGGTTGTTAACTGGGGCTCCTTACAGGGAGCGGTCATCCCTCCTGTTCAAGGAGCTCCACTGGCTGCCATTCATCTACCAGACTCAATTCAAGGTGCAGGTTCTTACCTACAAAGCCCTGAACAGTTTGGGACCCGCCTACCTGTGTGACCGCATCTCTGTATACGAACCCACATGATCTCTTCGTTCATCTGGAGAGGCCCTGCTCTCAATCCCACCAGCATCGCAGGCGCGATTAGTGGGGACGAGAGAGAGGGCCTTTTCGGTGGTGACCCCTTGACTCTGGAACTCACTCCCTAAGGACATCAGGCAGGCCCCAACCCTGGCAGTCTTTAGGAGGAGCTTGAAGACGTGGTTGTTCCAGTGTGCCTTCCCGGATTAACGATCCCATAGCACTTTGTCCCTCTAAAGCACACTACATTTTTTTAGGTCTGCTCATATGTCTTTCCACAAACACCACTATCAACTTTTCGTCCACTATTTCCAATTTTAATTTTACATTTGGCCTTCCCAATAGTTTTAATTGTATGTTGTCTTAATGATAATGTTATATGTTTATGTCCTTATTTTAATTGCTTGTATTGTTGTGATAATTGCTTGTAGTGTTGTGTTCGGGCTCAGCCTCATGTAAGCCGCACCGAGTCCCTTGGGGAGATGGTATCGGGGTACAAATAAAGTGTTATTGTTATTATTATTATTATTATTATTATTATTATTATTATTATTATCTCCTGTCCTGCAACACAAATACAAAATAAATATAAAAATTTCCTTTATCTTTGCTGTTTCTTGATCTCTCTGTGTTGTTTCTTTCTTTCTTTCTTTCTTTCTTTCTTTCTTTCTTTCTTTCTTTCTTTCTCAGGTGCTGAATGACACCTGGGTTTCTTTTCCATCCTGGTCTGAAGACTCAACGTTTGTGAGCTCCAAGAAGACCCAGTACGAAGAGCATATTTACCGGTGTGAAGACGAACGGTTTGAGGTAGCAACGACAGCACTTCACGCATTGTGAAAAGCATATTGCTATTAAGGACTTAAGACCTTGAGCTTTGAGTCTCATTTAGGAAGATAAATATTTAATAGCTTTGCCTTGATTTATATTTCTTTTCAGCTGCCACAATTTTACACACAGAAAAGGCCCTTGTGCTAGCTTTGAGCCTTATAATTCAATTGCCCATCTCTCTCTCTCTCTCTCTCTATATATATATATAAAAAAACATAATGTTCGTTTGTGGGATTAACATAATTCAAAAACCACTGGACGAATTGACACCAAATTTGGACACAATACACCTATCAGGCCAACGAGTGACCATCACTCATAAAAACACTGAAAAACACAGCAGAAGACTTAGAAAGCAAAAAAAACAAAACAAAAACAAAAACAAAAAACCCCCAACAACACATATATACACATACAAATCACATATACACAGACTGGGTCACAGCAACGCATGGCAGGGGATGGCTAGTATCTATATAAATAAAAATGTAATGTTCGTTTGTGGGATTAACATAACTCAAAAACCACTGGGCGAATTGACCCCAAATTTGGACACAATACACCTCTCAGGCCAACAAGTGACCATCACTCATAAAAACACTGAAAACACAGCAGAAGAGACTTAAAAAGCCAAAAAAACAAAAAAAATGCTACCGCTCATGTGCGAAAATGACATCTCCCAGCATCCCCTAGACCAGGCCCTTTAGGGAAGGAGGATGCTCCAAATGCACTGCTTCCAAGCTGCAAGCTTGCTTCTCCTTGGATTTCTTTGAGAGCATCCAAATCGATACATATTTCCTATTTCTGGACTTGCATCTTCCAGCCATCCTCCAGATAGATAAAATATATAGATCAGAGAGAGAGAGATAGTAGGTAGATAGATCAATCAGGAAGACTGCTGGGAGTTAGGTAGAGAATAGGTAGAGAAGGAAGAACGGGGAGAAAGAAGAAGGGAAATAAAGAGGGGAAGGAAGGGAAGAGGAAGGGGGAAGGAAGGAAGGAAAGAGGGAAAGAAGGAAGAGAGAAAGAGGGAGGGAAGGTTGGCCACAGCAACGTGTGGCGGGTACAGCTAGTATATTACTATATTGTACTATACTTACAAACAGTCCAACCTCCTGCCAAAGAAGCAGGAATATTGCATTCAAATCACCCCTGACAGATGGCCCTCCAGCCTCTGTTTAAAAGCTTCCAAAGAAGGAGCCTCCACCACACTCCGGGGCAGAGAGTTCCACTGCTGAACGGCTCTCACAGTCAGGAAGTTCTTCCTCATGTTCAGATGGAATCTCCTCTTGTAGTTTGAAGCCATTGTTCCATTGCGTCCTAGTCTCCAAGGAAGCAGAAAACAAGCTTGCTCCCTCCTCCTTATATATATATGTGTGTGTGTGTGTGTGTGTGTGTGTGTCTGTGTCTGTGTGTGTATGTATTTTTATGTATGCATTTTTATCCTTTACAATTTTAGCTTGTAAATCGCCTAGAGCATCTTGGATGGAGGGCGATTAATAAGTAATTAAATGATTATATATATGACCATCACTTAAAAAAACACTGAAAAAGACAGTGGAAGGGACTTAAAACACCAAAAAATAAAACATACATTACAACACATGTGCAAAACTATATATATATATATACACACACACACACACACACACACACACACACAAAACACATATACACAGACCGGGCCACAGCAACGTGTGGCAGGGGACAGCTAGTATGTGTGTGTGTGTATATGTATATATGTGTGTGTGTATCAAAGTATGTAACGGATGAGGATTGAACGAGAGGGCATCGTTCTTTTTAAATTGTTTATTATGCACTGGCATTTATGTTTAATTTGCACTTAATGTTTTTGCTTTATTAATGTATGTATTTTGTTTCGGCATCGAGTCGCCTTCGGGGTGAAATGGGTGGGATAGAAATAATGTAAATAAATAAATAAATATTTTGTTTCTTAGTTTGTATCACAAAAGCTGTTGCTAGGTGAAGTGGCCCTCTGTCACTGGGTTGGCTTTTGCTGAATGCAGTGGCCCTCAGTGATGTCACTGGGAAAGAGGAAGGGAGGGAGGAAAGAAGGAGAAAAAGAAGTGAAAGAAAGGAAAAGGGAAGGAAGGGAGAATAAAAATGGAAGGAAGAGAAGGAAGAGGAAAAGTACGAAGAAGAAGAGAAGAAAGGGCTAAAGAAAGAAAAGAAAGGAAGGAAAGAAGGAAAGAAAGAAAGAAAGAAAGAAAGAAAAGCAAGCAAGCAGAGGGGGAAAGATTGCATGCTTGCTAACTGGGGCTCCTTACAGGGAGCGGTCATCCCTCCTGTTTAAGGAGCTCCACTGGCTGCCATTCATTTACCGGACCCAATTCAATGTGCAGGTTCTTACCTACAAAGCCCTGAACGGTTTGGGACCTGCCTACCTGCGTGACCGCATCTCTGTATACGAACCCACACATGATCTCTTCGTTCATCTGGAGAGGCCCTGCTCTCAATCCCACCAGCATCGCAGGCGCGATTGGTGGGGACGAGAGAGAGGGCCTTTTCGGTGGTGACCCCTCGACTCTGGAACTCACTCCCTAAGGACATCAGGCAGGCCCCAACCCTGGCAGTCTTTAGGAGGAGCTTGAAGACGTGGTTGTTCCAGTGTGCCTTCCCGGATTAACGATCCCATAGCACTTTGTCCCTCTAAAGCACACTACATTTTTTTAGGTCTGCTCATATGTCTTTCCACAAACACCACTATCAACTTTTCGTCCACTATTTCCAATTTTAATTTTACATTTGGCCTTCCCAATAGTTTTAATTGTATGTTGTCTTAATGATAATGTTATATGTTTATGTCCTTATTTTAATTGAAAGATTGCATGCTTGCTGTCGACCTTTGCAGCCCGAAAGACAATTGCATCTGTCAAGAAGGAAATTTAGGTACCGTGTATACGGGGAAGCTAATTTAACTAATTTACGATGGCATAAAAATCTCCAGCAAGCATGCGAGGGAAGAAGGAAAGAAAGAAGGAAAAGACAAAGGGATGGCATGATGTGGAGCCACGATGACAAATCTTTTCCTTTCCAGCTGGATGTTGTCTTGGAGACCAACCTGGCCACCATCCGTGTCCTGGAGACGATACAGAAGAAGCTCTCTCGCTTATCAGCGGAGGAGCAAGCCAAGTTCCGGCTGGACAACACTTTAGGGGGCTCCTCAGAGGTCATCCACCGCAAGGCCTTGCAGAGGATATATGCCGACAAGGCAGCCGACATCATCGACGGCCTCCGGAAGAACCCCGCCGTGGCAGTTCCCATTGTGTTGAAGAGGTAAGAGCTGCATTTGGATCCGGAAACCACCGCCTGTCCTCATTTACCAAGAGGCTCATTTCCTCCTGCCTCACCCTTTATTCCTTTTATTTATTTATTTTGCTTTTCCTCAGGTTAAAAATGAAAGAAGAAGAGTGGAGAGAAGCCCAGAGAGGGTTCAACAAAGTCTGGCGGGAACAGAACGAGAAGTACTACCTGAAGTCCCTCGACCACCAAGGGATCAACTTCAAGCAGAACGACACCAAGGTCTTGAGATCCAAAAGCCTTCTCAGTGAGATTGAGACTATTTACGATGAGGTACGTCTTCTCTCATTCCTTTGTTGCGTGCTTTCAAGCCATTTCCAACTCGCATACTAATAAAAAGTGGACTTAAAATCCATAAGAGTATTTCTATGTAATTTTAATATTTTTGTTTGTTTGTTATTATTATACTAGACAGAGCAAAATGAATGACTTAGCAGGATTTCTTTGAAGTTCCTTTGCCGCTTTGAGTATCCTTCTAGAGAGAAAAAGCGGGGTATTTATAATAATTATTATAATTATTATAATTATTATTATTATTTGCCCATAAATATGTGTTTCTCCTTCATGGTCTCTGTGAAATGTGCACATGTGGTGCATCAACTACCACATGTGCTAATTTTACAGGATAACCATTCAAAGTAACATGGTTACAGGTAAGTAACCATCATTTCTCCTTCGTGGTCCCTGTGAAATGCACACATATGCTAGCTGATGCATATTTATTTATTTACGACATTTATATGCCGCCCTTCTCACCCCAAAGGGGACTCAGAGCGGCTTACAATATATATATATATATACACACACACACACACACACACACATACATACATACACATACATACACACACACACACACACACACACACACGTACACATACATACAAGATATTATATTATTAGCATAGTACAATATCAGTATTAAATGTTAATATCTTGTACTATACCAGGGGTCCTCAAACTTTTTAAACAGAGGGCCAGGTCATGGTCTCTCAAACTATTGGAGGGCCGGATTATAATTTGAATAAAATATGAATGTTTTCCTATGCACACTGCACATATCTTATTTGTAGTGCAAAAAACACTTAAAACAATACAATAATTAAAATGAAGAACCATTTTAACAAACATAATCTTATTAGTATTTCAATGGGAAATGCGGGCCTGCTTTTGGCTGATGAGTTAGGATTCTTGTTCTTGTTCTTGTTGTTGTGTGCTTTTAAGTTGTTTCAAGCTTTGGTTGACCCTGAGTGAGGGTCGGGTAAATGACCTTCGAGGGCCGTATCCGGCCCCCGGGCCTTAGTTTGAGAACCCCTGTACTATACCATTATATTGTAATATTAGTAATATTACATATAATACAAAATATATAATTATATTATTATAATTAGTATTATTATTAGTATTGTATTGTATTGTATTGTATTACATTATAATATTATAAATATTATATGTATATACAATATATTACATTACATTACATTGTATGATATTATATTATTAGCATAGCACAGGAGACAAGGTAGAACTGTCTTCTGCCCCCCCCCCCTCTCTTCACTCTGGCCCAGAGCAGCAGTTGGAGCTGGGGGGAGGGGTCCTCAGCTGACGACATATGCAGGAGACAAGATGGAACTGACCCCTGGCCCCCTCTCTCTTCGCTCTGGCCCAGAGCGACAGTTTGTGCTAGGGAGAGGGGTCCCCAACTGATGATATATGCAGGAGACAGGGTGGAACTGTCCCCTGGCCCCCTCTCTCTTCACTCTGGCCCAGAGCGACAGTTTGTGCTGGGAGGAGGGGTCCCCAACTGATGACATATGCAGGAGACAAGATGGAACTGTCTCCTGGCCCTTTCTCTCTTCACTCTGGCCCAGAGCGACAGTTTCTGATGGGAGGGGTCCCCAACTGATGACATATGCAGGAGACAAGATGGAACTGTCCCCTGGCCCCCTCTCTCTTCACTCTGGCCCAGAGCGACAGTTTGTGCTGGGAGGAGGGGTCCCCAACTGATGACATATGCAGGAGACAAGATGGAACTGTCTCCTGGCCCTTTCTCTCTTCACTCTGGCCCAGAGCGACAGTTTGTGCTGGGAGGAGGGGTCCCCAACTGATGACATATGCAGGAGACAAGATGGAACTGTCTCCTGGCCCTTTCTCTCTTCACTCTGGCCCAGAGCGGAGTTGGTGCTGGGAGGAGGGGTCCCCAACTGATGACATATGCAGGAGACAAGATGGAACTGTCCCCTGGCCCCTCTCTCTTCACTCTGGCCCAGAGCAGCAGTTGGTGCTGAGGGGAGGGGTCCCCAACAGATAACATATGCAGGAGACAAGATGGAACTGTCCCCTGGCCCCCTCTCTCTTCACTCCGGCCCAGTTGGTGCTGGGGGCAGGTAAACAACCATCATTTCTCCTTCGTGGTCGCTGTGAAATGCATACATATGCTATCTGATGCATCATATGTGCGAATTTCACAGATGACCACTCGAATAAACATGGTTACGGATAAGCAACCATCATTTCCGTGATTGCATGGATAGATTGCAAAACAGCATTTCTCTGTACCTTTTTTCCAAAATGGGATCTCATAGGTCAACCAGTCTCACCTTCTTTTTTATCAAGCAGTAATGTAAAATCAAAAGCCCTCCCGACAGATGACCATCCAGGTCTGCTTTAAGAATCATAGAATCATAGAATCAAAGAGTTGGAAGAGACCTCATGGGCCATCCAGTCCAACCCCCTGCCAAGAAGCAGGATATTGCATTCAAATCACCCCTGACAGATGGCCATCCAGCCTCTGTTTAAAAGCTTCCAAAGAAGGAGCCTCCACCACACTCCGGGGCAGAGAGTTCCACTGCTGAACGGCTCTCACAGTCAGGAAGTTCTTCCTCATGTTCAGATGGAATCTCCTCTCTTGTATTTTGAAGCCATTGTTCCATTGCGTCCTAGTCTCCAGGGAAGCAGAAAACAAGCTTGCTCCCCCCTCCTCCCTGTGGCTTCCTCTCACATATTTATACATGGCTATCATATCTCCTCTCAGCCTTCTCTTCTTCAGGCTAAACATGCCCAGCTCCTTAAGCCGCTCCTCATAGGGCTTGTTCTCCAGACCCTTGATCATTTGGGTCGCCCTCCTCTGGACACATTCCAGCTTGTCAATATCTCTCTTGAATTGTGGTGCCCAGAATTGGACACAATATTCCAGATGTGGTCTAACCAAAACAGAATAGAGGGGTAGCATTATTTCCCTAGAGAACAGAACTTGAGAGGTGGGGTAGAGGGGTTTCACGCTGGTTTTCCTCTTGGTTTCCAGAGGCAAGAGCAGACCTCCGAGGACAACGGCGGCCCTCACCTCTCCCTGGCCTATGAAGACAAGCAGATCCTGGACGACGCGGCCTCGCTCATCATCCACCACGTCAAGCGCCAGACCGGCATCCAGAAAGAGGACAAGTACAAGATCAAGCAGATCATGTACCACTTCATCCCGGATCTGCTCTTTGCTCAGCGGGGGGAGCTCTCCGACGTGGAGGAGGAGGAAGAGGAGGAGATGGATGTGGAGGAGGGCGGCGGCGGCTCGGGTCCCGTGAAGAAGCACAACGGGGTCGGCGGAAGCAGCCCACCAAAAGCCAAACTGCTCTTCGGCAACACGGCGGCCCAGAAGCTGCGCAACCTGGACGAGGCCTACAACCTCTTCTACGTCAACAACAACTGGTACATCTTCCTGCGCCTGCACCAGATCCTGTGCCTGCGGCTGCTTCGGATCTACGCTCAGGCCGAGCGGCAGATCGAGGAGGAGAGCCGGGAGAGAGAGTGGGAGAGGGAAGTGCTGGGCCTCAAGCGCGACAAGGGGGACAGCCCCGCCATCCAGCTGCGGCTCAAGGACCCCAGTAAGTATTGCATCGTTGTCCCCAAAAAAATCAATAAATAATTCTGCCTGTCCCCTGAATGGAACTTACAATGTGAATTCGCTGCTTTGAATGTATTTACACCAGGTATGGGCCAACTTTGGCCCTCCTTCCAGGTGTTTTGGACTTCAACTCCCACAATTCCTAACAGCCGGTCCTCAGGCCCCTTCCTTTTCAGCTTAAGTAGCCGAGGGGGGAAAGGAAGGGGCCTGAGGACCAGCTGCTACGAATTGTGGGAGTTGAAGTCCAAAACACTTGGAGGGAGGGCCAAAGCTGGCCCATACCTGCTGTAGAGGAAGCTTCCTTGACTCTTCACAGGCAACAGAGCCTAACATTAGTTATGGGCCCAGCTTAAATGGCTGAGCGGGGAAAGGAAAGGGCCTGAGGCTGTTAGGAACTGTGGGACTTGGAGTCCAAAACACTTGGAGGGAGGGCTGAAGTTTACCCATGCATGCTTTAGAGGAAGCTTCCTTGCACTCCGCACAGGCAAGAGCCTAACATTTGTTATGGGCCCAGCACTCAGCTTAAGTGGCTTAGGGGGAAAAGGAAAGGGACTGAAGCTGTTAGGAATTGTGGGAATCGGAGTCCAAAACATCTGGAGGGCCCAAGTTTGCCCACGCCTGCTCTCCACAGTGACTTAACATGGTTATGGGCCTAGAACTCAGCTTAAACAGCTGAGTGGGGAAAAGAAAGGGCCCGAGGACTGGCTGTTAGGAATGGTGGGAGTTGAAGTCCAAAACACTTGGAGGGAAGGCCAAAGCTTACCCATACCCGTTGTAAGAGCTTCAACGTATGGGTAAGCTTTGGCCTTCCCTCCAAGTGTTTTGGACTTCAACTCCCACCATTCCTAACAGCCAGTCCTCGGGCCCTTTCTTTTCCCCACCACTCAGCTTCCTTGCAGTCTGCACAGGTAACAGAGCCTAACGTTGGTTATGGGCCCAGCACTCAACTTAAATGGTTGAGCGAGGAACGGAAAGGGTCCGAGGACTGACTGTTAGGAATGGTGAGAGTTGAAGCCCAAAACATCTGGAGAGCCCAAATTTGCCCATGCCTGCTCTACACACCAACCTACCATTGGTTATGGGCCCAGCACTCAGCTTAAACTGCTGAGCGGGGAAAGGAAAGGATCCAAGGACTGGCTGTTAGGAGTGGTGGGAGTTGAAGTCCAAAACACTTGGAAGGAGGGCCGAAGTTTGCCCATACCTGTTGTAAGAGACGCTTCCTTGCACTCCGCACAGGCAACAGAGCCTAACATTGGTTATGGGCCCAGCACTCAGCTTAAGCGGTTGAGGGGGAAAAGGAAAGGGCCTAGGGCTGTTAGGAATTGTGGGAGTCGAAGTCCAAAATATGTTCAATGTTAAGGAATCATGGCTGCATTAATTCGGCATTATAGGGTGCCCCCAGTGGCGCAGAGGGTTAAACCACTGAGCTGCTGGACTTGCTGACCAAAAGGTCAGCAGTTCGAATCTGAAGAGCGGAGTGAGCTCCCTCTGTTAGCCCCAGCTTCTGCCAAGCTAGCAGTTAGAAAACATACAAATGTGAGTAGAGCAATAGGTACCGCTTCTGCAGGAATGCAATGGCGCTCCATGCAGTCATGCCGGCCACATGGGAGGCATCTACGGACAACGCCGGCTCTTCAGCTTAGCACCACTCTCAAGGATTGGACTCAACTAGGCTTGATGTCAAAAGGAAGCCTTTACCTTTACCTTAGATGCACCCTAAGTTTGATCCAAGTTTGCATCTAAACCAGTAATATTGATTCCATAATATTGTCGAAGGCTTTCATGTCCGGAATCACTGGTTCTTGTGGGTTTTTTCAGGCTATATGGCCATGTTCTAGAGGCATTTTCTCCTGACGTTTCGCCTGCATCTATGGCAAGCATCCTCAGAGGTATTGACCTCTGAGGATGCTTGCCATAGATGCAGGCGAAACGTCAAGAGAGAATGCTTCTAGAACATGGCCGTACAGCTCGTAAAACCTACTACAACCCAGATTCCCTAATATTCGGCAGCTTGAAACACAAGTGTAATAATAATAATAATAATAATAATAATAATAATAATAATAGACAAAATCACGATCTGTCAACTACAAAAGGCCACCTGACTTGGATCTGTGCGCATCATTCGGAAATACATCACACAGTCCTAAATGCTTGGGAAGTGTTCGACTTGTGATTTTGTGATACGAAATCCAGTGTATATACCTCGTTTGCTGTGCCATACTGTGTTTTTTGTGTCAGCAAAATAATAATAATAATAATAATAATAATAATAATAATAATATAAAGACTGTCACAAGCCATTCAAGGTGGTGCCAGTGGTGATTGGCACACTGGGTGCAGTGCCTCAAGACCTTGGCCTGCACTTAAACACAATTACCATGTGCCAGCTGCAAAAAGCCACCTTAAGGGATCTGCACGCATTATTCGCCGATACATCACACAGTCCTAGACACTCGGGAAGTGTCCGACGTGTGATCCAGTACAACAGCCAACAGCATGATCTTGTTTGCTGTGGACTCATCTTGTTGTGTTTCAATAATAATAATAATAATAATAATAATAATAATAATCCATCATACATCATACAGTCCTAGATACTTGGGAAGTGTTCGACTTGTGATTTTTGTGATATGAAATCCAGCATATAGATTTCATTTGCTGTGACATACTGTGATTTTGTGTCAGTAAAATAATAATAATAATAATAATAATAATAATAATATACATCACACAGTCCTAGACGCTTGGGAAGGGTTCGACTTGTGATTTTGTGATACGAAATCCAGCATATAGATCTCGTTTGCTGTGACATACTGTGCTTTTGTGTCAGTAAAATAATAATAATAATAATAATAATAATAATTTCCCAGGGTCCTTCTTGTCTTTCCCATTTCTAGTGGACATCGACGTGGAAGACTATTACCCAGCTTTCTTAGACATGGTGCGGAACTTGTTGGATGGCAACATGGACTCTTCCCAGTACGAGGATTCCCTTCGGGAGATGTTTACCATTCATGCCTACATTGCCTTTACCATGGACAAATTGATCCAGAGCATCGTCAGACAGGTAATCCTATCAGTGTACTTTTTTTTTTTGTGGGGGGGGGGGGGTGCAAGGCAGGAGTGGGATGTGGGTGGAAACATGTTTTTATGTATGCACGGGAACCCCTTGAAAGTTAAAAAAAAGGAATAATAATAATGTGGCAAAGCTGGCTGAGTGTCAACTGCATTAAGATCACTCTGACCAAAAGGTCATGAGTTCGAAGCCAGCCCGGGTTGGAGTGGGTTTCCAACCAATTGTGTGTAGCCTGTTGTTGACCTTTGCAACCCGAAAGACAGTTGCATCTGTCAAGTAGGAAAATTAGGTACCACCTTAAAGTGTGGGGAGGCTAAATTAACTAATTTATGAGGCCATAAAGAAGACTCCAGCAAAGCATTCCAGCGGGGAAGCACGCGGGGAATGCGGAAGTGCTTCATCAGTGTCGCAGATGGACAATGTAAGCGACAGCTCCCCTGGTGGCCAGAAAAAGTTAAATAGCCTCTGTGTATGTCTGTATATGTTTGTATGTCAAAATTGGCATTGAATGTTTGCCATATATGTGTATTTATATACACTGCAATCCGCCCTGAGTCCCCTGCGGGGTGAGAAGGGCGGAATATAAAAAGCTGTAAATAAATAAATAGAATAGAATAGAATAGAATAGCTTTCTAGGTATTCCTAGGTCACCCAGCATGACTCTGTGGTTGATTTCTGCTGACCATAAAATGACTTTATGGTGGCGCAGCAGGTTAAACCGCTAAGCTGCTGAACTTGCTGATTGAAAGGTCAGCGGTTCTGAATCAGGGAGCGTGGCGAGCTCCTGCTGTTAGCCCCAGCTTCTGCCACCCTAGCAGTTAGAAAACATGCAAATGTGAGTAGATCAATAGGTAGCGCTCCGGTGGGAAGATAACAGCACTCCATGCAGTCATGCCAGCCACATGACCTTGGAGGTGTCTATGGACAATACCAGCTCTTCAGGTTAGAAATGGAGATGAGCACCAACCCCCCCAGAGTCGGACACGACTGGACTTAATGTCAGGGGAAACCTTTACCTTTTTAGGACTGAAGGAAGTTGGCCATAAGAGTCAAACTGGAGGACCTGGACATTCCTAGAGAGAATGTTTTAATAATAATAATAATAATAATAATAATATAATAAATAATAAATCTAATATATTATATAATATATTATATTATATTCCTATTATATTATATATTATTTATATTATATTAAGTATAATGTATTATATTCCTAGAGAGAATATTTTAATAATAATAATAATAATAATAATAATAATAATAATAATAAATTTTGTATTTTGTCTGTTTGTTTGCTTTGTTCTGTTAGAAATGTAATATAATTGACTGGTTGCCCTGACACGACAAATAATAAATAAATAAATAAATAAATAATGTGGTCCCAGTGTTGATCGGCACACTGGGTGCGGTGCCTCAAGACCTTGGCCTGCACTTAAAGACAACCAGCGCTGACAAGATTACCATGTGCCAGCTGCAAAAGGCCACCTTACTGGGATCTTAATATCCATTATTATCTTATACAATTTGCTGGTTATTCCTTTCAGCTTGTGGTATCCTCCTGTCGCTCTTTCTTTTTGTATCATTTGTTCAACTTGTGTAAGTTTGCCTCCTTCCCCATTATTTTTTATCCAATTCTTGAACCATTGCTCTAACTGTAGACAATGGAACCATGAGAGTTTAAGATCTCTAAATTCTGTCAATGTAGTTTCCTTCCTCATGTTTGCTTTTACCCAAACTCCAATTCTATCTATATTCTTCTCTCTTAATTTTTTATCTAATATATTTTTTATTTTGGGAATTTTTTATCCATTATTATTGGTGTTAGTGTTGAACTTTCTGATAATAATATTTCCTTGTATCTATTCGAAATTCCTATCACATTTCTCAACGTTGGGTTTTTTATTCTCTTAAGAAAAACAGGTTAAATTAACAGTTTTGGTATAAGTCACAAAAGGTTGGAGGTTTAGCACTTCCCAATATTAAAAAATACTATGAAGCAAACAGGATGAGACTAGTTATAGAAGGGATAATAAATAAGGAGGATTTGGAATGGTTGGAGGAAGATTCAGAAGAAGTAGAGGACAAAATTTGGAATATACAGGGTTAGTCAAAATGAATAGGCCAATAAGAAAATTAATTTTAGACGAATGTATGTTTACTGTAACCAAACCACAGCTACGTAGCGACAGATAAACTATCAAAGTTTTTTTTGAGCAACACACATGTACGTTAATGCCGCTAGGCGTCGCTAGGGGTCGCTGTTTTCAAAATGGCGGATTCAAGCAAAGAGAAGGCGTTTTGTGTGATGACATTTGCTAAAACAATGTCAGTAATTACGGTCCAGCGAGAATTTCGAGCCAAGTATGGCAAGGAACCACCTCATCGACATTCCATTGCGAGGTGGGTAAAGCAATTTGAGGAGACGGGCTGCTTATGCAAGGGTAAAACCACAGGACGACCACGTGTCTCCGAAGACACAGCTGCATTCGATGCCATTACGTCGGATGTGCTGCAACGGATGTGGAATGAACTGGACTATCGCTTGGACATCTGCCGTGTCACACGGGGCGCCCATATCGAACATCTCTGAAGGTGAGACAAAACTTTGATAGTTTATCTGTCGCTACGTAGCTGTGGTTTGGTTACAGTAAACATACATTCGTCTAAAATTAATTTTCTTATTGGCCTATTCATTTTGACTAACCCTGTATTTTTTAAGGATATAAAAAGGAAAGAAATTAAAAGAAATAGTTTTTTAAGATCTACAGAGACATTCGCTGCAACACCCCAGCAAGTGAGAGTCCAAAAGTGGCAGGCTCAAACCCAGAACCTCAATCAATGGCTGATACCAAATGATAGTGACTCCCCCCTGGGCACACAGAAAACTGGGCGACTTGGAAGGCGCTGAACAGACTGCGCTCTGGCACCACGAGATGCAGAGCCAACCTTCAGAAATGGGGCCACAAAGTGGAATCCACGACATGCGAGTGCGGAGAAGAGCAAACTACAGATGACCTGCTGCAATGCACCCTGAGCCCTGCCACATGCACAATGGAGGACCTTCTTGCGGCAACACCAGAAGCACTCCCAAGTGTCCAGATACTGGTCAAAGGACATTTAATCAACTACCAAGCTTGCAAATTCTGTTTGTTTTTGTTAAAAATGTAATACAAATGTCTGGTTGCTGATGACACAACAAATAAATAACTAGATTTTAGTGTTAGAGGCTGAAGGAAGGTCATGCTTAGCCATGCAATGATCACAGTGATTCTTCTCTTCTGCCCAGCTCCAGCACATTGTGAGCGACGAGATCTGCGTCCAGGTGACCGAGCTCTACCTGTCCGAGAGCAACAGTGGAGCCACCGGCGGCCTACTCTCCTCCCAGGCCTCCCGGTCTCTCGTGGAGACGACCTACCAGCGCAAAGCGGAGCAGCTCATGCAGGATGAAAACTGCTTTAAGGTAAGTAACCCTCTTTGGCAACAGAAAAAGGCAAGGAGAGCCCCGGAGTCTTCTCAAAGTAAACAAGGGAGCTCTTGGTGAACTTCAAAGTACAGATAGAACTTTTTAGTTTCATTGGCAAAGGGAGGAGTTTCCTTTTCTTAAATTTCCACAATTCTCACTTAATAGAGAGAGGTATTTTGTACGAAATAGCCCCAGCAACACTTTGTAACACAGTTTTTGTTCCTGGGCTAAACGTATCATTTTCTAATCGGCGCTATCATAAAAACATGGGAAAAGATTATTCAACAATGGCTACCTCAACCAGTTCCACCAAGTTTGTGGCAGCCACAAAAACACAGTTTCTGGAGTAGAACAACGGCTTTCCAAGTAAGTATCGTTCAATTAAACAAGAAATAACACTTTCAAACCAGGAAAAAAGTTATTCAAATGTTGGGTTGTTGTAGGTTTTTCCGTGCTATATGGCCATGTTCTAGAGGCATTTTCTCCTGACGTTTTGCCTGCATCTATGGCAAGCATCCTCAGAGGTAGTGAGTTACATAGTATAATTTTTTCCAGGGATTTGGTAATAATAATAGACCTTGACATTTGGGAGTTGTAGTTGCTGGGATTTATAGTTCACCTACAATCAAAGAGCATTGTGAACTCCACCAAGGATGGAATTGAACACAGAACTCCCATGACCAACAGAAAATACTGGAAGGCATTGGTAGGCATTGACCTTCAGTTTTGGATTTGTAGTTCACCTACATCCAGAGAGTATGTGGACTCAAACAATGATGGATCTGGACCACACTTCGCACAGATTCTCAATATTCTCAAATATGAACACTGGTGGAGTTTGGGGGAAATAGGCCTTGACATTTGGGAGTTGTAGTTGCTGGGGTTTATAGTTCACCTACAACAACAGAGCATTCCGAACTCCACCAATGATAGAATTGGGCCAAACCTCCCACACAGAACCCCCATGACCAACAGAAAATACTGGAAGGGTTCGGTGGGCGTTGACCTTGAGTTTTGGAGTTGTAGTTCACCTACATCCAGAGAGCACTGTGGACTCAAATAATGATGGATCTGGACCAAACTTGGCGCAGATACTCAATATTCTCAATTGTGGACACTGGTGGAGTTTGGGGGAAATAGACCTTAACATTTGGAAATAGACCTTGTAGTTGCAGGGATTTATAGTTCACCTGCAATCAAAGAGCATTCTGAACTCCACCAACGATAAAATTGGGCCAAATTTGGCACAGATACTCAATATTCTCAAATGTGGACACTGAGGGAGTTTGGGGAAAATAGACCTTGACATTTGGGAGTTGTAATTGCTGGGAGTTATAGTTCACCTACAATCAAAGAGCATTCTGAACCCCACCAACGAGAGAATTGGGCCAAACTTCCCACACAGAACCCCCATGACCAACGGAAAATACTGTGTTTTCTGATGGTCTTTGGCAACCCCTCTGACACCCCCTTGCGGCCCCTAGATTGAGAAACACTGTACTACTCCAACCACAATTGGACTCCCTATTAACCGAGCCCTCCTTTTTGCTGTCCCATAGCTGATGTTCATTCAGAGCAGAGGCCACGTCCAGTTAACTATCGAGTTGCTCGACACCGAAGAAGAAAACTCCGATGATCCTGTTGAAGCTGAGGTGAGAAGGCCCTGCTTGTGTTTTAAAGGCATTCTTGAATGTGTTGCCAAAATTAGGCGTTTACCTGTTTAATTAAACCTTTCAGGTGTAGCAGAAGTAGGTGCTGAGTGGCTCCATCAAAACTTGGAGAGGTTTGCGACTTTTTTTCACAGCTCACACCTCTCTCCATCTATTAAGGGCCTAAATCTAATTATTATTATTATTATTATTATTATTATTATTATTATTATTAATAATAATAATACCTGACGCAGGCAGAACTGGACAATTTGAACAGAAAAACAAGAAAACTCATGACCATTCATAATTCACTACATCCTCATAGTGATGTTGACTGGCTCTATCTGCCTAGAAAGCCTGGGGGAAGAGGACTCTCACAAGGAAAATAAGCAGTCGAAGAAGGAAAACATGATGCTTCATCTGCTTCCTTGCAGAGTCTACATTTGGGATCTGTTGTCGACTTTTCAATTCTTGCTTTGATGGCATTGGTTCTAATGGCTTGTTCTTGGGCTGCCAGAATCAGACCCTCCTTTGTCTCCTTTTTCAGAGTATTATTACTACTACTACTACTACTACTACTACTAACTGAGCTATACACAGATGCTTCTTCTGCACTTCAGGGAATCAGAGAATAATAAATAGACTGGATTCTCTCAGTACTCGAGATTAAGGGCTGCGCTTTAGCACAGCTGGTTAATCACCAGCAGCAATAGATCTTACCAATGAAAAGGTTGGCAGCTCGAAGACCAGATCAGGGAGAGCACCTGACCTTCAGCTCAGCTTAATGTCCACCTAAGCAGTTCGAAAACCGCTGTGAGCTATGAGTAGAGAAATTTGGCCCCTCTTAAGCGGAGAGGTATTTTACGGCGCCATAAAAAGAAATACCAGAAAATGCCAGCGATCAAAGAAAGGAGGAAGCCTGTGATCAAGGCTCTTCGTCAGAGAGGATGGGGCGACAGCACCCCCTCTGGCCGGAATTGAGCACAGCCTCCGAAGTTGGGAAAACAATGCTGTTGCAACCCAGAGCAGGAAACGAGACCATAAGATAACAATTCACCACACTTGATTGTGGGAAAAAACAATCCCTTTTTATTGATGAAAAATGGTTACAAAATAGAAGAAAATGCAAAGTCAAAAAGCCACAGTAAAATTCAGCAGTCAAGAATATCCATGAACTAGATCCAAAATCCAAAAGCAACACTGTAAAAACCTGGAACCTGTTAGCAATTCACTAACCGTACTTGGAGTACTAGAAGCCTCTTGGGATGTAGGCCACGGGAAACGGGAAATCTGCCAAGGTAATGCCTCAGTCTAAACGATGCCTGATCTAACGAGACAACCCAGCGAGAGGCACTTAAAACTGAAGAAGCTATTTCATGACACGCCTCCAGGCTTTGAAGCCTGTGTTTCCTTCTCCCTTAATCTGCTTGACCTTCGCAGACTCTGCGATTCACTCCTGTTTTTCCAAATCTGTCCTTTTCTATCCTCAGGAACCCAGGTGCTAACTCCTCTGAAGAGCTATCACCACTTGGCTCTGCAACATTCTCATCAGAATGTGTAGTTTCACTTTCCAAGCCACTGACCTCAGAATCAACATTTTCATTACCATCAGGGAAAAATACATTTTCATTAGCATCAGGAAATACAATCAGAGAATCAGGTTCAGGTTCACATGCAGGCTGAACCCCAACAAATGCCGACATATTTATTTATTATTGCATTTATATGCCGTCCTTCTCACCCTGAAGGGGACTCAGAGCGGCTTACAAGGTATATATACATACAATATATTATATTATTAGCATAGTACAATATCAGTATTAAATATTACTATATTGTACTATACCATTCTATTGTAATAATATTAGTAATATTACATGTAATATAAATATATTATATTATTATTAGTAGTAGTAGTAGTATATTGCATTACAAGATATATATACCTGCAATATATTATATTATTAGCATAGTACAATACCAGTATTAAATATTACTATATTGTACTGTGCCATTGTATTGTAATAATATTAGTAATATTACATGTAATATAAATATATAATTATAATATTATTATTAGTAGTAGTAGTAATATTATATTGCATTACAAGATATATATACCTGCAATATATTATATTATTAGCATAGTACAATATCAGTATTAAATATTACTATATTGTACTATGCCATTATATTATAATAATAATATTAGTAATATTACATGTAATGTAAATATATAATTATAATATCATTATTAGTAGTAGTAGTATTATATTGGATAACATTATAATATTATAAGTAATATATGTATATACAATATATTATATTATATTACATTATATTATATTATTAGCATAGCACAGGAGACATAATCCTTTTATCTGTTGTCTGGCCTGTCTGTGTAACGGCATCAAATGTCTGTTGTGTATATGTGTTCTGTGATCCGTCCTGAGTCCCCTTCGGGGTGAGAAGGGCAGAATATGAATGCGGTAAGGAAGGAAGTAAACATTGCTCAGTCATGAAACCAGTAGCCAAAGTTATGCTTCTTGCACAAGAAAACAAGATGCTTTTTTGTTCCTTTTCCAGCGCTGGACCGACTATGTGGATCGGTACGTCAACTCCGATTCGACCTCTCCTGAACTGCGGGAGCAACTGGCCCAGAAGCCTGTTTTTTTGCCAAGGTGAGTGAACTGAGATGGCGCTTGGCTCTTGGCTGTGAATGGCAGCCAGCCATTTGGCAAGATAGCTGCTTCTGCTGAGCGTTGTGTCTCAGGCAGTCAAAGTTTGAAGACCCAAAGATCTGGGCACGATGAGTTGCGGAAACAGAGTGTCGACTTCTTCTGTGACAGCTTCAGAAAACTTGTTCATTGTTGACAGAAATGTATCCAATTGTCTGGTGATTATGTGGGAAAGTGAATAGTGGTAATTATGTCATGAATGACTTTTCAATAACTTTGAAGCATAGGTTCTTTTCATTGCAATTTCCAATGTGAGAGGGTATATCCGATTACAGAAAAACATTTAAACACAGAATGACATTGGACATACAGACATTCTATGCAACTACATTGGATGTACAATTATATTTTATTATTTATTTACAGTATTTATATTCCGCCCTTCTCCCTCCACAGGGGACTCAGGGCGGATTACAATGTATGCACACATGGCAAACATTCAATGCCATAGACCAGGGGTCCCCAAACTATGGCCCGCGGGCCACTTCCGGCCCACCAAGGGCACTTATCCGGCCCACGTAGGAGGAGCGCCTCCCCCCCCACACACACAGTTCCCCTCCCTTGGTTGGCTCACACTATCCGTCAGGCCTGATGGGCAGCATGAGCCAGCCGAGGGCAGCTGCTCCGCGTGGCCTACTCGCGCGTAAAGCACCTCGCATGGTACTTTATGCGCGAGTAGGCCGCGCGGGGCTGCTCCTCCCTTGGCAGGCTCACGCTATCCGTCAGGCCTGATGGGCAGCGTGAGCCAGCCAAGGGCAGCTGCTCCATGTGGCCTACCCGCACGTAAAGCACCTCGCAAGGTGCTTTACGCATGAGTAGGCCGCGTGGGGCTGCTCCTCCCTTGGCAGGCTCACGCTGTCATGCCCGATGGGCAGCGTGAGCCAGCCAAGGGAGGCTGCCCCGGCGCTCCATGCAGTCATGCCGGCCACATGACCTTGGAGGTGTCTACGGACAACGCCGGCTCTTCGACTTAGAAATGCAGATGAGCACCACACCCCAGAGTCAGACACGACTGGACTTCATGTCAGAGGAAAACCTTTAACTAGGAAAATTGTGGAAGATCCAGGGTGGGAGAAAGAACTCTTGTCTGTTGGAGGTAGGTATGAATGTTTCAATTGGCCACCTTGATGACCATTTCATAGCCTGACAGTTTTTAGGGAGAATTCTTTGTTGAGAGGTGATTAGCTGGCCCCGATTGTTTCTTGTCTGGAGTTCCCCTGTGTTTGAGTGTTGTTCTTTATTTACAATTATAATTTTAGAGTTTTCTTAATACTGGTAGCCAGATTTTGTTCAGACTAGAAATAGGAAGATTTCCCATTCTCTGCTCCTGGAATTACTGCTTAAAAAGGGCTAGAAAGAACCCCCTCGAAGGGCCCTTCCACACAGCAAAATAAGATATGTGCAATGTGCATAGGAATTTTTTTATTGATTTTTTAAAAAAAACTATAGTCCGGCCCTCCAACGGTCTGAGGGATAGTGAACTGGCCCCCGGTTTAAAACGTTTGAGGACCCCTGCCATAGACACACAACACATATAGACAGACAGTCAGAGGCTATTTAACTTTTCTGGCCACTAGGGGAGCTGTTGCTTTCATCATCCAACTGCGACACTGATGAAGTACTTCCGCATTCCCCGCATGCTTTTTCTTGGAGATTTTTTAAAATATATCTKTATTGATTTTTTCTATAACATGATTTTAAAAAATCAGAAAGATTAAGAAAGAAAAAAAAGGAATAACTTAAGGRAAAAAAAGAGAAGCAGAAAAAGTTTTTAAAAAAGAAGGATCTTTTCTTCTTGACTTCCAGAGTATCTTCTGTGAGGTGTCATCTTTTTCCTTCTTCCTTACTTTTTCTSTTTTTTCTTCCTTTGTCGTTCCATCTCCCTTTCATTCGTTTGAGGTTRATTTTTTAATTTCTATATTAGCATCTTATATTTCTTTTCTTTTAGATATTCTATAACTTTCGTCCAATTTGTCTCTTTTATTGGTTTACCTTTGTTTTTTGATATCAAATATGTGAGTCTGTCCACATTCCTAATTTCCATAAATTTCCTAGCCAATCTTCTATACTTGGTGCCCTCCAAATAGGATGTTCTGTCCCACAACTCTGTGTTTTATGAGTTCCATTTAAACGTCCAACTCCTATTTTATCTCATCATAGTCTGTTAATTGTTTTTTTTAATTCGGAATATATGGCCTCCAATTGTCATCTCTATCGTGATTGTGTCTATTGGATTATTTATTTATTTATTTATTTATTTATTATTATTATTATTTTTAATGTCATTTTGATAATGTTGTTGTCTGTTGTATGTTTTGATTTTATTACTGTATTATGTTGTCCGGGCTTGGCCCCATGTAAGCCGCTCCGAGTCCCCATCGGGAGATGGTAGCGGGGTAGAAATATTTTTATTATTATTATTATTATTATTATTATTATTATTATTATTATGTTGACTTCCTTCTTAATATTGTAAACATTTCTCTTATCACTGTCCCAGTTCTTATCAGAGTTTACTTTTCAGTTCTCATTAGCAACTTTTAATTACAGTCGGGATTCATAGTTCTCAGACCTCTGATCATGTTAGTTGCCCTTCTCCGGACACATTCCAGCTTCTTGCCATCTTCCTTCTCTTGTGGCATACTGAACACCCTTTCCCTCATTCTCAAATGATGAGAAGGGGCTCCTTGTGCCATGGATATTATGGGATGCTAATCCCAGCAGGGGCTCTCTGCTTTCCAGGAACCTGCGGCGGATCCGCAAGTGCCAGCGCGGCCGGGAGCAGCAGCAGGAGAAGGACGGCAAGGAGGGGGCCGGCAAGAAGCCCCTGGAGAATGTGGAGAGCCTGGACAAGCTGGAGTGCAAGTTCAAGCTCAACTCCTACAAGATGGTGTACGTCATCAAGTCGGAGGATTACATGTACCGGAGGACCGCTCTGCTGCGTGCCCATCAGGTAGGTATTTACTCGGAGCTAACACTCACCTTTGGCTGGAAAGGGGGGGGGGGGCTAAATCACTTTGCTACAATTAGGGTGCACATCAGATTTGCATAATATGGTAATAATAATGTCACCTTGATTAGTATTTGATGGCTTGGCAGTTTTTTGGTGTGGCTTGTTAGTGCCTGGGGGAATCTTTTGTTGAGAGGTGATTAGCTGTCCCTGATTGTTGCCCAGTCTTGCTTCCCAAGGTATGGGCGCAGCTGGCACACGGGTTTTAATTGTTCAAAAGCTCCCCTGGTCACTGCCGAAACCTGGGGTTCCAGGCTCAGCAATGAGTCCAGGAGAACACCCAAGCTGTGGCAGCCACCTCTTCACAAAAGTCAACATTGACACCAAAATACAACACCGCCTGAGCTCTGCAAGTGCAGCATTGCTCCAAATGAAGCAGAGAGTGTTTTGAGGACTGGGACATCTGTAGGGATACCAAAGGGCTTGTTTATAAAGCTATTGTCCTCCCAAGCCTGTTGTGGCAGCCACCTCTTCACAAAAGTCAACATTGACACCGAAATACAACACCGCCTGAGCTCTGCGAGTGCAGCATTCCTCCAAATGAAGCAGAGAGTGTTTTGAGGACTGGGACATCCGTAGGGATACCAAAGGGCTTGTTTATAAAGCTATTGTCCTCCCAACCCTGTTGTGGCAGCCACCTCTTCACAAAAGTCAACATTGGCACTGCAATACAACACCGCCTGAGCTCTGTGAGTGCAGCAAGCTGTGAACCTGTGTCTTCTGGGGGAGTGTACTTACTTACTTACTTACTTACTTACTTAGGCAATCCCTCATTGGCCGAGTAGGGTAGTCTTCCAGGATCAGTGTTCTGGTTGGTGCGTAGGTGACTGTGGAGCCCTATTCTTGATCTGCATCTTCTCCCACAGTGAGGGCATTGGTTTCCAGGTGGAAGGCGGTCCCGGTCGGGGTTGGCTTGATGCTCCTTCCTCTTGGCACATTTCTCTCTTTCACCCTTCATTTGTGCCTCTTCAATTTCTGCAGCACTGCCGGTCACCGCTGACCTCCAGCTGGAGCGCTCAAGGGCCAGGGCTTCCCAGTTCTCAGTGTCTATGCCAGAGTTTTTAAGGTGGCTTTGAGCCCATCTTTAAATCTCTTTTCCTGTCCTCCAACATTCTGTTTTCCTTCTTGAGTTCAGAATAGAGCAACTGCTTTGGGAGATGGTGGTCGGGCATCCGGACAACGTGGCCGGTCCAGCGGAGTTGATGGCGGAGGACCATCACTTCAATGCTGGTGGTCTTTGCTTCTTCCAGCACACTGACATTTGTCCGCTTGTCTTCCCAAGAGATTTGCAGGATTTTCCGGATGCAGCGCTGATGGAATCGTTCCAGGAGTTGCATGTGACGTCTGTAGACAGTCCACGTTTCACAGGCATATAGCAGGGTGGGAGGACAATAGTTTTATAAACAAGCCCCATGGTATCCCTACGGATGCCCTAGTCCTCAAACACTCTCTGCTTCATTCGGAGGAATGTTGCACTCGCAGAGCTCAGGCGGTGTTGTATTTCAGTGTCAATGTTGACTTTTGTGAAGAGGTGGCTGCCACAACAGGGTTGGGAGGACAATAGCTTTATAAACAAGCCTCTTGGTATCCCTACGGATGTCCCAGTCCTCAAACACTCTCTGCTTCATTTGGAAGGATGCTGCATTCGCAGAGCTCAGGCAGTGTTGTATTTCAGTGTCAGTGTTGACTTTGGTGGAGAGGTGGCTGCCACAACAGGGTTGGGAGGACAATAGCTTTATAAACAAGCCTCTTGGTATCCCTACGGATATCCCAGTCCTCAAACACTCTCTGCTTCATTCAGAAAAATGCTTCACTTGCAGAGCTCAGGCGGTGTTGTATTTCAGTGTCAATGTTGACTTTGGTGGAGAGGTGGCTGCCAAGGGAGCGGAAATGGTCAACATTTTCTAATGTTACACCATTAAACTGTATCTCTGGCATTGGAGAGGAATTGGCCGGTGACTGCTGGAAGAGCACTTTGGTTTTTCCCATCGTGGTCAACTGTGAATATGCACATATGGTAGTTTCTGCGCCTGAGCAGACAGCTTCGGAACCTTCTAGATAGAATTGAAAAACTTTGGTGGTTGGCCCCGCCCACTCTCCCCTCGCGAGTATAAGTAGCAGGTGGGCGGCGCCACCGCCTCAGTTCTCTTCATCCGCCGCTCTGTCAGCAGCTGAGAACCTTTGTTTGTGTCTAGCTTTTCAGACTGCCTTTGAATCTTGACTGGACTGTTTTTCGACCTCTCGCCTGTGTTTAACCTGGCAGCGATTTTGGCTTTTAAGTGCTGTGCTTCATGCTCAAATAATTTTCCCGACAATGATGGCCATTCCCTGTGCCAGCTTTGCCTTGGTGAGGGACATTTGTCCCAGGCTTGTGCTGTCTGTCAGGCTTTCACGCCACAGACTAGAAAGAACCAGGAATCAAGGCTTAAAGCTGTTTTGTACGAGTGTGCCTTGCTCCCTCCCGCCCCCGCTGGCCACCCCTCGGGTGTTGCTGCCCTCATCATCATCATCATTTAATAACTTATTAATCGCCCTCCATCCGAGAATGCTCTAGGCGATTTACAGCTAAATTATAAAAGATAAAATACATACATACAAAAATTAAAAATTAACAGAGATCGAATGCTCTAGTAAAAAGCCAGGTCTTAAGTGCGAGAGTAAAAGGCCCTAAGTCACGCATGGCTCTCATGTAGGCGGCAAGGAATTCCACAAGGCAGGGGCAGAAATAGAAAAAGCCCTGCGTCTGGTCCTTTCCAAGTGCACTTCTCTAGGACCCGGTATATGGAGTAAGTCACGTTGGGCTGGTCGTTGCGACCTCCGATGATGGGAGAAGGAGAGGCGGTCCCTAAGGTATGATGGACCCTGGCCGTAAAGAGTTTTAAAGGTCAGAACTAGCATCTTATACAGGCCACGGTACTCAGTTGGAAGCCAATGTAAATGTTGCAGCACTGGTGTTATATGGCATTTCATGGGCGTTCTTGTGAGTAGCCTGGCTGCCACATTCTGAACAATACGAGCTTTTGGGTCGTAGACATCGGAAGGCCCACATACAGGGCGTTGCAATAGTCCAGCCGAGACGTGACCGTGGCATGGATGACAGTTGCCAGAGCCTCGTCAGATAAGTAGGGTGCCAATTGCCTCGCTTGTCGTAGATGGAAAAAGGCCTGTTTGCTGGCGGCAGCGACCTGAGCTTCCATTGTCAGCTGCGAATCCAGGACGACACCTAAGCTCTTAACAGTGGTCGATGGAGATAGGGCGGCACCATCGAAGGTGGGTCAGACCAACGGAGGAGTCAGACCTGCCAGAGAATCTCAGTCTTCGCCGGGTTCACCTTCAGTCTGCTAGCACGTAGCCAGTTTGACAGAGCTTCCAGACATAGGGTGAAATTGTCTGGAATTGACGTTGCTCCAGGCTCCAGGCGCAGAAGGAGTTGGGTATCGTCTGCATATTGGTAGCAGTCCAGGCGAAACTCCGAGCCAAACTAGCAAGGGGTCTAACGTAGATGTTGAAGAGAAGAGGAGAGAGAATTGCACCTTGGGGGACCCCACATAGAAGGGGGGATCTATCGGAGACTTGATCCATGTACTCCACGCGTTGACTCCGGTTCCGGAGAAATGAGTTGAACCAATTGAGGGCCTGACTTAACCTTAATGGTGTAACCCAGTGTTTCTCAACCTGGGGGTCGGGACCCCTGAGGGGGTCGCGAAGGGGTGTCAGAGGGGTCGCCAAAGACCATCAGAAAACACAGTATTTCTGTTGGTCATGGAGGTTCTGTGTGGGAAGTTTGGTCCAATTCTATCATTGGTGGGGTTCAGAACACTCCTTGATTGTAGGTGAACTATAAATCCCAATATCTACAACTCCCAAATGTTAAAGTCTATTTTCCCCAAACCCCATCAGTGTTCACATTTGGACATATTGAGTATCCGTGCCAAGTTTGGTCCAGATCCATCATTGTTTGAGCCCACAGTGCTCTCTAGATGTAGGCGAACTACAACTCCCAAACTCAAGGCCCACCAAACCCAGTATTTTCTGTTGATCATGGGAGTTCTCTGTGCCAACTTTGGTTCAATTCCATTGTTGCTGGGGTTCACAATGCTCTTTGTTTACATGTTAGCTATAAATCCCAGCAACTACAACCCCCAAATGACAAAATCAATCCCCTTGCCAACCCCACCAGTATTCAAATTTGGGCATACTGGGTATTTCTGCCAAATTTACTCCAGTGAATGAAAATACATCCTGCAGATCATTATTTACATGGCGACTCATAATGTTCGGGTTATGGTTGGGGGTCACCACAACATGAGGAACTGTATTAAGGGGTCGCGGCATTAGGAAGGTTGAGAACCACTGGTGTAACCCCATCCATCTCAGGCTCTTACCCTATACCTGAATACTGAGGTTCCATCACGCTTTTCACCTTTTGATCTCTCCTTTCCCCCCGCAGTCCCACGAACGGGTGAGCAAGCGGCTGCACCAGCGCTTCCAGGCCTGGGTCGACCGATGGACCAAGGAGCACGTGACCCGCGAGATGGCGGCCGAGACGAACAAGTGGCTGATGGGCGAAGGCCTGGAAGGCCTGGTGCCTTGCACCACCACCTGCGACGCAGAGGACCTTCACTTTGTGAGCATCAACAAGTACCGCGTCAAGTACGGCGCCACAATATTCAAGACTCCCTAAAAAAAAAGAAAAATAGAAAAAAAAAAGAAACCCTCTGCCGGGGAGAACGCCAGAGCGTTGGGGGATATGTGTGTGTCTGTTGTGTGTGTGTTTGCGCACATCGAGGAAGCGAGACACAAAACCCGAGGAGGCGGAACGCCTTCTTCCTCCTCCTCCGCATAACTCCGTCGCGGCATCCATAGTTGAGGGAAACGTCGACCCCGAGGAACCCAGCTCATGGCACACGTTGTGGGTAGCGGTGCAGACAACCAGCCCTGCCTTGACACACCAGCAGCATATTCTCCGACATCGAGGGACTCTGAGGACTTGGGACGAAACCGAGATATTTTTGGTGCATTTTGAAACCCTCCTCCTTCCCTCTTTTTTGGGAGTGCTTTGAGATAGCCTGACGACATCGAGATTTGGTGCATTTAAAATCCTCTTCCCCACAAAAAAGGAAAAAAAAGAAATCCTAGAGCCAGAATATTCCAGGGATCGCAGAGATATCCCTGGCTTTTTGCAAAATCTTCCATCCGTCTCGACTTCGGAAAATCTGAGTCCGACACAGTCTTGTCTCTCTTCCAGGTCTCTCCCGGTGACTTACGTAAACACCACCTAAGATCCAACCATGTCCTTCCTTTAGTGCCAGTGGAAACTTATTTTATCCATTTGGGGTTTTATTATTTTTTTATTTGTATTATTATTATTATTATTTTGGTACTTGCTTGTTTACTAGTCTCTTTTTAGTGCCATGCACCAGCTTTTTACACATGGGAAACACATTCAGATACATAACAAAACACAAAAACGTGCCGTTCCAGTTCCAGGCAAAAATCTTCCACAACAGCGACGAGTTTCAACTTTGTTTTTTTTTTTTCTCCTCTTCCCTCCTCCTCCTCCTTTATTTTTGTAAATAAATGTACATATTTGTCAATTTTTTTTTTCTATTAAAGGAAGAAAAAAGTATGCTTGACGTGCTAGGAGATCTAGCTTCTTGTGTACCATAGTCGTACCCAGGTGGCTTCAGGGTTTGTTTAGGGCAAGGAGCAGCAGCAGTGTGGCATTTTATTACACTTTCTACTACCAAAGGGAGTTGTTATCATTGTAGTGCTTTGTGGGACAAAAAAAAAATATGTTTTCTCCTTTTTGTAAAAAAAGAAAATGAAACAAAAAACATGAATAATAATAATAATAATACATCTTGGTTCTCGAGAGGGGATGTTGCGTCGAGCTGGGATTCACAAAGACAAAGACGGGAGCGTGCTTGTGCGAATAAGAGAAAGTCTGTGGAAGTGCATTATGATTTGTAATGTCTTTAATTTCAAGCAGTTTGTTTGAATATATGGATATGTATTATATATATACTTTTCCTTTCTTTTTCTTTTTTTTTTAGTGGGTAGCTTTCTATCCACTTCTTAAGTCTTCCGGCTCGGAGAATCCGCACTTTTGGGAAGTGCTGCTGAGCTGTCCAGTTTGGGGCTTCGGCCGTTATGTTGCTTATGGCGCGTTTCTTCTTGGTGTTTGGAAGGAAAACCTGCGTAAATACCAAACCAGTATTCGGCAGAAAGAGCTGCTTTTGGCGCGGATGTTTTATGTGTGCGAATGCGACAAGGGAAAGCTGGGCCACGGAAAACGAGAGAGAGAGGGCGATCTCTTCCCGTTGGTCTAGTGGCCGAAAAGCAGGGATGTCTATATATATATTTTTAGAAAGCTCACCGTGTCGGATGTGTAAAGACAGAGATAATCGGAGCCTCTTTTTCCAGGCAAGTCTCCCTTTACGAGAAGCACCTGCGGATTTTTCTTTTTTGTGGATACGAAAGTTGTCCTTCTCCAAGGAGACATGCTTCCCTTCTTGCACAAAGTTAACAAGGAGGATATATGTGTGTGTGTGTGTGTGTATATATATATGTACACACACACACACATATATATATATTTACATATATACAGTAGAGTCTCGCTTATCCGACATAAACGGGCCAGCAGAACGTCGGATAAATGAAAATATCGGATGATACAGAGTCTCCTATTGTTACCCATCAGACGTGACGCTAGACACCTAGAATCCTAAAAACAGGAACTCAAAAGAATTAAGGCAAGGCAACACCCCGGGGCTAGATGGCAGGAATTGCCCGGATGCGGAAGAGGAGTGTGGAAATCGGAGAGGGAAGGAAGGAGGACACTTCCACTTCCGGTCCTTCCTCTTTTTCCCCTTTCCTCCCTCCTTCTCCTTTTGTACCTATTGGGAATGGAGAGTTGAGTAGCGCTCCTTTAATTGGGGGAAAAGAAAGGTTTTGGATAAGATGGAATATCAGATAAGATGGAACGTCGGATAAGCAAAGGTCAGATAAGCGAGATTCTACCAGGTGTATATATATATATATATCAAGACAGAGAGAGAGAGAGATGGGTCTCCCCAGACTTGTTAATTTAAATTATCTGTCCCCAGTTCTCAGAAATATAGCATCAACACAATCAACAGGGGGGGGAGATCAGGAGGAGAAAACAAGAGTGGAAATGGGAGGGAAACTTCAGTTGGGAAGTTCAGACAGTATACCAGCAATAAGCTTAACGTATTCCCCCCAAGTCTCTTTCCGTCGCCCTGTTAGTAGGAAAACAGGGCATTAACGACAGCGCTATTGTGTCCCTCTTCCATTTTGGCTCGCCTCTCCTTCCATCGTCGTCCTCCTCTTTGTGTATCTTCAAATACCAGTTTCTTTTACACGTACCAAACACCGAGTTGGGAAAAACGGCAGCTTCGATGCCTTTGCCCGGGCAAAGCAGGACAGGAAACAGGGTCAGGGATTTTTCCTCCTTTCCCGGCCAGTCCTGGAATGGGGTCCGACTCTTTCGTTCCCAGCAGGGTTTTGCAATGTCTCTGCCTCTTCTTTCCCCCCAAAATCAATCCTGATGTCTGACATCGGAGCTCCAAGCTCCAACCCTGGCCTGTACAAATCGCGGGGAGGGGCGGGGAAAAGGACGCTTTTCCTTATTTCGAACTGCTTTTTGTATTCCTGTAACGTGCTTCTTTTCTTCTTTCTTCCTTTCGTTTTTCCTTTTTTTTGCCACCTATTTCATGTGATGATGATTTCTATACAGATGTTGTAAACTTTTGACTGTAGTGCAGTATTTCCATTAAAATATCAGGGCTACCCGTGTGTGCGGATGTTGGTGGTCGTCCTTCCAGATCGCAGGTGGTTCGGCCCCCAAAGAGCGGTGAGCGAAAGGGGGGGACTGTGTTGGCATTTTCACACATTTTCCGTTCAAAAACGTTCGACAAACTCAAGGTAAAATGGCAAACAAATAAACCTTTTCCTCCAATAGTTGCCATTTAATATCATAAGTACACAACGAAAGTTTATTTCAAAAAAGTAAATTTATTTTCAGAAAGTACATACTTCACTCTATTTTTCGACATAGTTGCCAAGTTTGTTCAAACACTTACCATACCTCTGAACCAATTTTAAAATACCCTCTTCATAAAAACTTGCCGCCTGCTCCGATAACCAAGAGTTCACTGCCGTTTTCACATCGTTGTCCTCTGTTAGGAGTTTTGGGACCCAACGGGAGCACAGTTTCATAAACTTTAGGTGTTCAGAAATAATGTTGTAAAGCACTGATCTCGACATGTCAGGAAATTTGTTTGAGAGACCTGTTATTGTGAAGCGCCTGTTCTCACGAATCCTCGCTTCAACTGAAGCCACCAAATCGTCTGCAATCAAAGAAGGGCGACCGGAGCGGTCCTCATCATGGACGTTGTCACAGCCATCTTTGAATTGTCGTACCCACTTACGCACTTTGCTTTCACTCATAACAGTTTCACCGAACACTTCACAAATCTGTCGATGAATTTCTGCAGCAGGCAGGTTCCTTGATGACAAAAACCGTATCACTGAGCGAACCTCACATGCGGCGGGTGAGTTGATAGTCTTAAACATTTTTAAAGCACAGAACAGAACCGTACAGGTTAGCTACAGAGCGGAAACTGAGCACAGTTGTTCCCGAGGCATGCCGGTACACGACGCACGTGCTCGTTGCGGTATGCGTGCGAACTAGTGTCTACAACAAAACGGATCTTACTTATAAAAAATACCCCTCATATGTCCACAGCAGTGTAAAGTCATTTCTGTCGCACCTCAGAATAGGTTCACCTTGCTGAAAACACCAAACTGCACACAGCCAGAAGTCTTTATAGTTTATTAAAAAGTAAAAGATAAAAAGTTCTTAAAAGCAAAAGTAATGTTCTAAAAGATCAATACAAAATAACACTTTGAAGCATGATCCAAAAAGGCACCAGCAAAGTAAAATCCCATGAGAACATGACTGAGTCCTGAAACCATGAACACAAGAACTGCAAGATAATCCAGACAAGCAAAATGCAAGCTTCTTGGTGAAACGAAAAGTTGCTCTGACAAAGGTTTGGCCCCAAACACTGTGTGCTGGTACAGCTGTACCAGAAGCTCCAACTTTATTTGCTTTGTATTAAGTGTTTGCTTGCAGCCCAAGGCTTGGGATTCTGCAGAAGGGTGGCTTCCTGTTAAAGTTTGCAGTTATAGGGCAGGCCCCCTGTCCATCATCGTTAAGTTTGGTTCCGCCCCCTGTTCAGGACAATTGAGAAGGGAAGGGAGCCATTTTCAGTCAGTCTCAGCAAGGAAAGTCAATGTACAGGATGTATACAGACTTCTCCTGTATAAAGGCTTCAACCCTTAAGACCTCCCGGGGGAGAACAGTCTTAAGAGCAAAAGGATTCCCAAAGATTCCCAGGGAAACAGCCCTAAAGCTCTGAGGAATTTCGGAGGGAAAAACAGCTTTGAATATCTAAGAACTCCAGCTGAAGTGACTACAGGCCTACTGGTAGGTCCACTCGGTGCTTTGAGACGCATTTCAACCCAGTAGTGGCACCCACATCAGTTAGGTTTAGGTTCACAGTTAGCTTGGGAGAAGTTTGGAAAAGGATTTTCCTTTACAGTAAAAGTAACAGAAGTCACTAGTTGCACAAAAGCCTGGAAGCATTTGTTTAACCTTTTGAAGACAAGTTCCTGTTGATTGTTCACCAATAAGACTTTGTTGTATTTAACAAGCCCTCTGTTTATGGTGAAAATCCTTACGAATTTCTTTTCGGGCCCCCTAGCTTCCCGCTGGGCTAAAGTTGCACGTCCTGTTTTAAAAGCAATTTAAACAGAACACACTGCTTAATACCCTTTGCAAAACATGAAGGTGTTTCTTTGGCCTCTGACCTCCTCCTTGTTAGCTATTCTCGCACTCCTTCGAACTCTGAATTCCATACAGTCAGGTTCCCATTTCGTCAGGGTCAGTCTGTTAGTGTTATCCAGTTTGCCTTCCTGCTCATTATCAGTCTGAGAACTGTCCTCCTTTTCTGAGTCAGTTTACACCTGCACCTGGCTAGTTTCAGTATCAACAAACTCATTTCTTGCTGTGGGAAACTGAACTTCCACATCCTGTTCATCATTGACTATAACAGGGACATTTGGAACCAGATTGTCAACCTGAATCCCATCATCCTCATCAGAGGCACTCTGTGATTCCAGATGAGTCACAACAATTTCCATACTTGGTTCTGATTTTATAATGTGGAATCAGTTGTCTTCACAGTTAGGATGTTACCTCTATTATTTATTTATTTATTTACAGTATTTATATTCCGCCCTTCTCACCCTGAAGGGGACTCAGGGCAGATCACAATGCATACATACAGTGTTCTCTCACTTATCGCGGGTGTGATGTTCCAGGACCACAGTTGCACTCCGAAAGAGGAATAACCATCTGATTTTAAAACACCACACGTTGAGTAGGAAAACAATCCTTTTATTGAAGATAAGTAAAAACAGCAAAGTGAAAAAGACACTTTAAAGGAATAGGTAAATCCAATTAGGTAAAAAGATAAGCAGAAACAAATTAGTCAAAGGTAGAGTTCAGCAATGTCCAAAAGCAAAGTCCACAAGTCTCTAACAAAATCCAAAGAATCAGAAAACTTTGATCCAAGACCTGAGCCGGGAATCACAAGAGACAAAAAACCAAACAGGAAACAAGAAGTCTTTAAGCATGAATCTTCCAAGCAAGGCTTTTATGAGGTGAGAACAAGAACTTCGCAGGATTCCAAACAATGCTTCATCTGGTAATATTTTCCATGCTTGGAACTTTTAAGCCTTTCCAAGCACTCAGAAACTGGCTTCGCTTTCATTGAGCGGCCCTTATCTTTTTCTGTTGAAGCCTTGCAGAACACCCAAGGCATTGCTCGGCCTGTCTGTTTTGACTAATTTCCGCCCGCCTATCTCTATGCTCATTAGTCTCCACAGATGCCGTGTTGTTTTCAAGCCCCAAATTCTGGGAACTCTGGGAGCAATTCAGGGAGTAAACCATCATCCCTATACCCTGTAGGAACATTCTCATGGGAAACTACACTTGGAACAGGTGCCTCTCTGTCATTCTTTGCATAATTATCACTGACCAAACCATTGCCATCTTGAACCTCATTTACATCATTCCCCACATCCAAAGCACCCTGAGAATTGATTTTGCCCTAGTATTGTTCTAGAGATGGCATCTATCAACGATTGGCCATAGAATCATGTTGGAGAACCAAGGCTGGGAATTTCTAGGTCTTCCAAATCAATTATGTGGCCAAGTTTTCCAGAAATAGAATCCTAGAGTTGGAAGAGACCTCGAGGGCCATCCAATCTAACCCCTTTCTGTCAAGAAGCAGGAAAATCACATCCAAAGCCCCAACAGATGGCCATCCAGGCTCTGCTTCAAAGCCTTGAAAGAAGGAGCCTCCACCATATTCCGGGGCAGAGAGTTCCACTGCTGAACAGCTCTCACAGTCAGGAAGTTCTTCCTTATATTCAGTGGAAATCTCCTTTCTTGTAGTTTGAAGCCATTGTTCCGCGTCCTAGTTTCCAGGGCCTCCTCCCTATGACTTCTTCTCACATATTGATCCATGGTCATCATCAAGTCTCCTCGCTGCCTTCTCTGCTGCAGGCTAAACATGCCCAGTTCTTTAATCTGCTCCTCATAGGGCTTGTTCTCCAGACCCTTTATCCTTTGAGTCGACCTTCTCTGGACACATTCCAGCTTAGAGTCAACATCACCCTTCAATTGTGGTGCCCAGAATTGGACACGATGTGATTCCAGGTGTGGTCTGACCAAGGCAGAATAGAGCATGGGTAGCATGACTTCCCTGGATCTAGTCCAAGAGGACTTCAAGATCTTTTTCATTGTCCCCTATTCTGTACCTTTGCAGAATTGACCATAGAGGCTCCACTCTTAAGTTGGGAGATGCTCCTTGTAGATTTCCCAGCCGTCAGCAGGGGGCACCTGGAAGCTAGAAAAGAGGAATTGGGTCGTGAAGCACTATGTGTTATATGTGCCATACATTGCATAAGGTTCCCTTCTTGTGGATTCAGGCTGGGTGTTTGTTTGTTTGTTTGTTTGTTTGTTTTTTGCCAGGGTGGGGTGGACAAAATGAGATTTATCTCCCAAGCAGGGATTCTGCCCTCCTCCCCGAATCGGTTGCATTGCCAACAGTGAGACATTGGAAACCGCTCAACTGTGCAAGTGTTTGTGAACATCGAGAAAACCAAAGTGCTCTTCCAGTAAATAAAGAGCAACACTAAAAAAACAAATAAATAAATAAACAGGAATTCTAGACAGGAAATCAGGTCCAGCTAACACCTCCCAACAAAGGATTCCCCCAGGCAGGAAGCAGCTGCAAGACTATTCAGTGCTAATCAAGGTGGCCAATTGCAACAGTCACACTTGCCTCAAATAGACAAGAGTTCTTGCATCCTGGACACCATTCTACAGAAACGTAAACCTCACTTTCCTAGTTTCCGACAGATCTCACAAACTCTGAGGATGGCTGCCACAGATGTGGGCGAAATGTCAGGAGAGAATGCTTCTGGGAGATAATAATAATAATAATAATAATAATAATAATAATAATCACTAGGTTCTTGTGGGTTTTTCGGGCTATAGAGCCATGTTCTAGAGGCATTTTCCTAGTTCCAACAGACCTCGCTACCTCTGAGGATGCTTGCCATAGATGGAGGCGAAACGTCAGGAGAGAATGCCTCCAGAACATGGCCATATAGCCCGAAAAAACCTACAACAACCCAGTGATTCCGGCCATGAAACCTTC